CGTTTGATATGGATTGGAAATGATAGGGAAAAGGCAGGGTTAACAAAATGGTTCTCTCTCTCTCTCTCTCTCTCTCTCTCTTTTTTAAAAAAAAATTGTATGTGGGAAGAAAGTAAATTTTTAAAGGTTTGGAAATATGGGTGACATTGACACATATAAAAAAATTGGGTATAATTTGTAAAAAAAAAAAAAAAAAATTTTTGGGTACTGTAATGAGAATTGTTCCTTTTTAATTCTGACATTTTTTTATTGTTTTTCATAGTTAAAGTAATGGATCTTGACGGCAATGGATATTTTGAACAAAATGTTTCAATCATGGACATTTTCTACGATTTTCAATAGGTAGGAAGTATATAGCACATCATCAAGTATGTATGGATGATTTTCTGCTATTAAACCTTTAACGATTTTTCAAACTAAGAGAATATGATGCAATTAATGAATCATGAAAGCTGGTAGGCCAAAAAAAAAATTAATAATAATAATAATAATAATAATAATAATAAAACCTTCGAGGTTTCTTTTCTAGTTATAATAATCAAAGGCATGCAAATACAAGTAAAAAGCAAAATTAATTAAAATCAAATCATAATTATTATCAAAAGTTTATTTGGATTATAACTGGATTCCAAACTGATACAGCTTTGGTTAAAGTAATGTATTTCGGCTTTACCAGACCAGACCAGACCAGTCAATTTCCTTCTAAAGCTACAATATTAGGGTCATGTTTGGGAGATATTGTGCTTATATTTGGCAAATACTTTTAGCTTCTAAGTCCTGTGCATTTTCATTCATACAATTTGTGATCCTAAAAGTTATTAAAAAAAAAAATAACATTACGATGATGCTTATTGTTTCCTGTTTTTTTTTTCCTTTCAAAATTTGCCTAAAAATAAGCGACCTTTCTTTTAGTCCTTCATATTTGAGTGTTTTAGGAGCTTATAAGCAAGTTCGACAAATTTATTTTTAAAATGAACTCTCTCAAACATGCCCTCTTCTCCTACTCTAGTAGGGGTGGATCCAGAAAAAAAATTAAGACGAGCTAAGATATTTGAGTGTTTTAGGAGCTTATAAGCAAGTTCGACCAATTTATTTTTAAAATGAACTCTCTCAAACATGCTAACCTCCATTGCCGTCTTCTCCTACTCTAGCAAGGGTGGATCCGGGAAAAAAATTAAGACGAGCTAAGATATTTGAGTGTTTTAGGAATTTATAAGCAAGTTCGACCAATTTATTTTTAAAATGAACTCTCTCAAACATGCTAACCTCCATTGCCGTCTTCTCCTACTCTAGCAAGGGTGGATCCGGGAAAAAAATTAAGACGAGCTAAGATATTTGAGTGTTTTAGGAATTTATAAGCAAGTTTGACCAAGTTATTTTTAAAATGAACTCTCTCAAACATGCTAACCTCCATTGCCCTTTTCTCCTACTCTAGCAAGGGTGGATCCAGGAAAATTTTTAAGACGAGCTAATATATAGTATTTTAGTTGTATTAGAAAAGGATCTTCAAAATCATTTTAATTTAGCAGGGGTTAATTACATTGATGGTCACCGAACTTTTCACTTAATGTTTCATTGGTTACTAAACTTTAAGTTATTTTTGATTCATAATTAAACTCTACTAATGAGTTCATTTTTTACGGAACATTTTACGAGTTTGTGCGTCAAGACATAGGATTTAATTGCCGACTCTAAATAGTTGGAATTAAAGAAATTTCAAAAACGTAAAAAAGGTTTTGAGCTATTGATTCGATAAATAGATAAATCAATAAATTGGACCTGGAAAAATAATACTATTCTAGAATCTGTTTGAACCTATACATAGTTTCACCCAAATTTCAATCCGATCGTGGATAGATCACCTAAATTTTAATCCATAAGCCGTGAAAATTGCTCTGTTGAAATCCTAACAATTTGATGACTTTAGCAAACAGACACGGGATTTTCAGTTTTAAAAAATAAATGTCAAATTGAATCGGCGGCTGTAAAATTGTGATGAGTTTGAAATAAATTTAAGTTCAGTGATCAAAGTGAACCAAGTGCAAAGTTCAGTGGCCATTATTAAAATCCGTTTCTTTTGTTCCCACTCTTTTGTTCGTTAGCGATCTTTGCCAAACGAGTCCAATTAAAATTAAAATTAAAAATAAAAAAGTCTTTCATTTATAACAATCCCACTTGCATCCTATCAAATCCCACCACCTCCTATACGCTTGAGAGGAGTATAAAACGCTTATCTCTTCAATAATAAACTACAGATCTATAGATAATCACTCAAGAAACTTCAACACGCTTTCTGAAACTACAACTGCAAGAATCCTCTCATTCTTATAGTAATCACTCAGAATATTACAGATATCAGAGGCTAAAAAAACACAGATCTCAGTCTCGAATGAGTTTTTCAAGAAATAAGAAAACCATAGATCAAACACTGACCTTCGACAGAAAAGACATATTTCTCTCAAAATTCTAACCGTCAGAAAAAGAGGAAAGGAAGAAGTGCTAAGTGAAATGACAATATGTGGTAGGTGCCTTATATATTTAATACAACAAAGATGCCAAATTAAGGGTCAAGATAAGGACATGTGTTGCCATCCTGTAAAAAACGCATCAACTTAAGAAAGTTGCATTTCCAGTAACGCGACTTTAACCAAATTTTGTGAGCACATCACATATCACTGGTTCGAGCTCAACAATTCGTTCTCAATTAGAGATTAAAACAAAACAGCTTCTCCCCTATTTTGTTCAGCTAATATTTTTTATTTATTAAAATCTAAGTTAAAGCCAACAATCAATTTTAACCACATATTCATGGAGCTTACACATTTTCAGACACATATTAACCACATATTCATGGAGCTTATTGATAAGTGCATTTTGTGCACTTAATTATGTCAAATTACTTGGGTTTCATGTCGTCAAATTATTAATTTTTACTTAAATTGTGTTACTTTTCTTTTGTTTTTA